AAAAAAAAAAGAATATTTGTCATAAAGATGCTGCATCTTGGTAGAAAATGACAAAAATCCAATAAATATTTGCGAGTTATGTATAACTAAAAAGAACCAAGTAAAATGAACCTATATAGTCAGTAGCTAAAAATAAGAAACCAGAGGATGAGTATAACAATACTGTAGGTTAACACAAGATAGAAAAATTAAGTGGATTAACATGGGAAAACACAGAGTGAAAAACAAAAACAAACCATAAGAAATATAATAGGATACTAGGAGAGATGGTGAGAGAACCAACATCCCTATATACTCTACAAGTTTTAGGTATTAAGACCATAATTGATTGCACAAAAAATAAAATTAGAAAATACACAAAGTGAGACATTTAACACACTTGTAGTTTTTGAAATTACCCACAAAATCTGTGACACTCTATTGACATGTGCTGTCCATTCCTCCTGCCCTCCCATCTGGGCTGACAGTGGTGAGTTGTCTATAATGTCTATAAGCAACACAATGTGGTGAAGCCAGCACAGCTTGACTTAGAAACCTAGCTAAGAAAGTCAGGCCTCCTCCTCTGACTTAGTAGGATGTTTGCTTTATGGGAAATCTATTCAGTAGAGACTATCGTGTAGGAGAGAACATTTGAGGTGGTTCTTTCAGTAACCCCAAGTGAACTTTAAGCTACCAGCCATGTGAATGAACTGTCCTGGATTCCCAGCTTGGTCAAGTCTTCAATGACTTCAGCTGCAGATTAGATTCAAGTGCAAGCTCATGAGAGATCACAAGTGGCAACTGCCAAAAGCCCTTGCCAAATGGGTAAAATGAAATATATTTTTACATGTGTTACTATTTTGGGGGGAGAAGTGATGCATTAAAAAACAGTGTCAACTAGGTCAATGATATTTACTGTGAAACAGCAATTGTACATTCCCATATTTTGTGGGGCACTATTCACAATAGCTATAGTATGGAATCAGATGTCCATTGCAACAGAAATTCATAGAGAATGTGGTATAAATGTGACCATAAAAGGAATAGTGTCTTGCCTTTTGCATCAAAATAGATGGAATCATAGGACATTAAGTTAAGCTCAATAACCCAGACACAGAAAGACAAGTACCACACATTCTTCATCATATGTGGAAGCCAACAGGTTATTCTATGGAAATTGGCAATGACACTGTGGTTATGTAAATAGTCTTGATAATATTTCAAGAATAAGGAAATATCTTATTCATTTACTCTTAACTACTAAGTCAGAAATATCTTACATATTCAGGGAAAAATGTGGCAGGAAGAGGGGATAATATAGAAAAGAAGAGGGGATAATATAGCATTGGGGAATTAGGGTTAGGATTTTCTGAGAATTTTGTGCTATCTTTGAAGCTTTCATTATTTTATTATTTTTCTTGATGATTTGAGAATTCAGAATTAATTCAGAATAATAAAATAAATGAAAGAGAAAAAGAAAAACAAAGCCACAAAAAATTGAATGTGAAAACTAGTTGTAGTGTTTAGATACTGGGTATCCCAGAAAAGCTTATGTGTGAGACAATGAAAAGTTTACAAGTGAAATGATTGGTTATTTTAACTTCATCAGCACATTAAGCCTTTGATAGTATTAACTGTGTGGTGACAATAGTCATGTATGTTGTGGCTGGATAAGATGGGTCCCTGTTGGCATGATTTTGGCATTTATATGTTGTCTTTGTTGAGGAGAGTTCCCCCCATTTCTGCTTCTTGGTGGCCATCTGCTGACCTCCTTTCCCCTGCTTCACTCTTCCACCATGATATTCTGCCTTACCTCCAACCACAAGAAGTGTAATGATATTCTGCCTTACCTCCAACCACAAGAAGTGTAGTAGGATATCTATGGACTGAGACCTCTGAAACCTTCAGCTTCAAAATATTTTTTTCTCCTAAAATTGTTCTTGTCAGGCCTTTCTGTCACAGCACAAAAAAGTAGACTAAAACATTAAATGTCCTAGGACATTTTACTAAAAGAAACTCATAAAATAATATCAAAAACATAAAACACCAATAGTATATCTAGTGAAAGTTAAGTTTAATTTCTGAGGGAAATTAGAGATTTACCTTATACATTAATTAGCTCCATATTGATGTTTAGGTCAAATCCAAACTCAATATACAGAGCATCATTCTATTATTGAATTAAATATATCATGTTGTTTGTAAAATGTATTTGAAATGCAGACGACCAAGCATGACCAATGCACTGGGCAGAAAAAACAACACAATTAGAGCAGTTACTTTAAAGAAATCTTTACAAAAGTTAATGAGGCATGGTATAAAGTTATAGTTAAGGAGGTGTGCATGACTACAAGCCTAGAAAATGACAGAATGGAATGGAACAGAGCATAGAGCAAGAGTCAGAAATATCTGCACCCTGTGTATTTCAAAGGTGACACAGAAATGGGGAAAAGGCTTTTCAGTAATGATTCTGAGTCAATGGGATGTACAAACAATGATGTGAAAGTTTTTTCATATCACACACTATATAAAATACCAATTCCAGAAAGATTGTTCAACTATATGTAAAAGAAATGTAACTAAATGTGTACAAGGTACTCTTGAAGAATATTTTTATTATCTTATGATAACTAAGTTCTTTTTTAAAGGACACTAGAACACTATAAGTGCAGCAAGTGTTGATATGCTGTGCTTCATAAAGAACAAGAATTTGACTCCAGGAAGAAGACCATATAAAGTGGGGGGCATATGAAAGGGAAAGGGTGAATAAAGATAAACAATTATATCCATATTTGCATCAAACAATACTGACATGGTAATTCGTAGGATAATTATTTGGGTACTCAAAAAGTGCAAACAACTCAAATATCCACATCATTTGAATTGATCAATATATGATCCTGTAGTTATTTGCAGAAAACTCTACAACAATAAAAATAGTACTCAGCTGAAAATTAAAAAATAGGTAAATTGTAAACATTATGTTGAGTCAAAGAAGACACAAAAAGAGAACATGGTGCATGATTTTACATGAAGCTCAATATCTGAAGAAAATATTCTTTGGCAGCAAAAGTTAGAGTGTTCTTCTTTGGAGGGGAGGAATGCACAGTGACTGGAGGAATTTGAGAGTGACATCTGGGAGCTGCTGATTCTCTCTGATAGTCTAGGGTGAGGAATGTGACAGAGCTGTCATTCATTGTTATATAGTGTTATACATGAATTTCAATAATTATAATTCTTACTTAAAACCAATCCTTTTAATATTTTTTGACAGGGCTGAAAGATGAGTGATCATTAAGAATCATAATTCACCACAAAATGTCTCATTTTTGAACTCAGCTCTCCATGTTGTTTGCTCTTAGAGACATGTCACTCTAGTACCACTCAGCCCTGCCCTCTCTTACCTGAGCAGACCACAGAGGCTGTGTTTCCATGGGCACAGGCAGGAACACCCAGGGCAGTCACAGCGCAATTCCACAAGAAGGACTCAGACCCAGAGCAGTGAAATCGATCTCTCCAGATTTTATCTCCTCCTTCCACAAAGTATGCTCCCTTTGGGGTGGAGATGGCGACTCCACAGCCCAGCTGACGGCAAACTACATTGGCATTGGCCATATTCCAGTGGGAGGCACAGAGTGTTTTCCAGCCTCCAGAGGTCTTCATCTCCACTTGACCCTCACACTGAGAGCTGCCATTTTTCATGAGCCGAACATCTGTATATCCTGGTAGAGACAGGTTTTAGCAAAATCACACATTTTTCTTATCCCCATAGAGTATGTAGGGAAGTTAAAGTCCTGTTGTGAGTCTCACCTGAGCAGACAACTTGCACAGTCCCTCTGTGGGGGCAGCTGCCTGCAGGACAGGGCACTCTGGGGCAGAACCAGAGGCCAGGCTCCTGCCCCTCATACTGGAACTCTTCAGCCCAGACCTGTTCACTGTCCTCTCTGAGGGGAAGATTCCCCAGGACATATGCAGCCTTGCCACACCCGAGCTCTGCACATATAACCTGGGCTGTGGGTAATGTGAAATTCCCATCAGATACTGGAATCCATCCTTCTCCAGAATTCACTTCCACTCGCCCAGAGCAGAGTCCATGTCCTCCAACCAGATGCACAAATCCTATGGGAGAAAAAACAAACAACAAGTACCAGCCTATTAATAGAAGGAGGAAGCTACAATTCACAGGTAATGCTGTGAATTTTTTTTTTCAGGATTGTGGTGTGGGGCTTGGATTCAACAGATGGTTCCTGAATGTGAATTCATGGAGGAAGTGTTTGAAGACAAATTTTGGAGAAGGAATTTGTGAGATCAATTCTAAATTGTTGATTCAAGGAATAAATATACATACTGCTCTACACACATGTGTATATGTCCAAGAAATGAATATATATAGTGTGTAATAAGCAGTTTTCTTTAATATGAAGATATTATTCTTTGTATTATAAGTGTATCTGTGTGTTTTAATCATTTTAATTTTAATCATTTTAATCTAATGACTTTCTGTGAAGTCCATCTCCTTTTTTTTAAATTAGATCCATATGTATCCACTGAAAGTGAACTCAATGTAGAAAAACTAGGATTAATTTTTCACTATTTTATCCTCTGAAATTATCAATTCATAGATAATAATTCCAACTCATATAACATTAATTAATGTATTAAAAAATCAATAGGTCTGGAAACTGACAGTTTATACTTATTTCTCAATTAGGCAACGGAAAAGAGCCCACTAAATGGTGTGAGACTGAGATAGAAAACAGGTTATTGTGACTATAATAATCAGAGTTCTTTGAATCATTCTTCACATGATAGAAGAAAGAAAGGCCATTTGTAAGTAGGAACAGAAGTTATGAGAGATTTGAGCTTAAGCATTGTTATTTTTTCTTTTATTTTGTGTTTTTAAGGGCTTATTTTGTTTCTAATAAACAGAGTTTTAAAACTTCATTATACATCTACTAAAGCTGGTCAGGAAGTGATTTCAAGTATGGGACCAGATAATTTGAGGAGGCATTTGGTTATAGAGGTGAAATTGTAATGTAATAATACTTTTATGTAGTAATGAAGTTCAACAAGGAATCCTTTCTGAAGAAAATAGCATGTTCATTATATTTGTCCCCAATTAAATCATCATTGTGGAATGAAGATCAAAAGCATTAATCTAATTAATAAAATTCTTTCTTAATATACTCCCTTTTCTCTCTGAAGCTGATGTATTAAAATGAAGTGTGAATGAGTAAAGTGTAACTACATTGATACTTTTAATTTCTATCATTATAGAGGAGTAATATAGTGTAACTTACATATAGAGTCAAAATGCAGATATACAAATTCCAAACTGAAATCCCTAATCTTTAGGAGGTTATATTTTAAAGAATATGAGGCCTACAGGAGCATCATAAAATCAGCCATCACTATCCAGTGACAGGAACAACAAAAACCAGCCTCCAGAACAGAAACCTGGCTGGCTGAAGGCTCTGCCTATGGATACACCAGGTCTTCTTCTCTGTGAACTCTGGTTTCCACTCAGTTCCTCCTTCACATTAAAGGTCAACATCAGCACCACCAGAGAGGGCCACCAGATTTGCATGACTGATTGTAGTTTAGGCTCAGATAGAAACACAAATTTGCCTGAAGTGGCACTATCTCCTTTTTTTATTTTCCTTTTTTAAAAATAATATTTGACTCAGTGCTAGCTTCCAAGAGTTAGAATGTCTCAGTGGAGATAAAATAACATTACATGCAAGTTTGATCTGAGATAATCCACTGGGATATATGAGTGTAGTGTCCTCTGGTTGAAATGTTATGAGGGCATCTTTGTCTTAGACACTGAATTTTAATGGAATATCAAACCTTTGCAATAAACTTTTATATAATTTCCATTATTAAAAATCAGCAGAATTTTAAATAAAGAAATAGATCACCCAATATAGGTTTCACCTTTACTCTTCTACTCTTCATAGATCAGAGAAACCTGATCCAGCTATACAGCCTGAGAGGGGAAAGAGTAAAATTCATACCGTACATGTACTCAAACCATAACTGAGTCTCTGTAATTGTGCTGATCAGAAATCCTGAGGTGTTCAGAGGGCAGTATTGTTGCAAACTCAGCAATACATTTATTTGTCTTTTAAAAAAGAGATATTTTAACAAAAACTACTGAATGTAGAACCAATACAATTAACCAAATTCCATGAAAATTCCAAAGGACAAACACAGCAAAAACTAAAGTAATTTTGAAATCTTAAGGTTTGACATCTACATCTTGAACATTACAGAACAAATTTTGCTTTTTATGTCAAATCAGAAGAGTCATAGACACACTTGCACTTCAGTCAAAAAGAGGAAAACATCAATTACCACAATAGCAAATCAAGGAAAATGGTCCTGCTCTGTGGCCTAAGAAACCTGGAGAATTGGAACCAAAAAGACCTGAGGGTGCAGAGTGTGTGTTTAGCACATGACAGCAAAGAGAGTCTTTTGGTAGCTTCTCTTGTAGGGACAGACAGATGGGAAGCTCCCAGGCAAGGTCTAGGTGTAGGTGCTTCCTGTATAAATAAATGAGGTATTATAATATTTATCCTAAATCCATTCTCAGTCTCATTTTCCCTTCCTAAACCTCTCTATCTGAATTCTCTAGTAACCTAAATCCCTCAACTTTTCGTTGAGGGTATCTTTGTCTTATGCACTGCATTCTATTGGAATATCAATCCTTTGCAATAAACTTTTATATAATTTCCCTATTAAAAATCAGAAGAATTTCTGATTTGTGATGTTTCCTCATCCATCACTCCAAAATTTTATCTTATGGTTAGGCCTTTTTCATGGCTAAGTTTAAAGCTCTACAGAGATAAATGCTATTGACAGTGTTAAATGTGTTAAAGGTTACTAAAAATGATATACTATTGAGGATGCTCATATGCTACATCCTTAAGTCCTGACAGAGAAGACAGAACTTGAGGAGAGTAAGTGACATTTTAGAAGTTAGAGATAAGCTGGCATCCAGGCCTGTCCACTATATCCTCATTTATGCCTCACAATGACAGCTGCTCTTGCTTTCAAGCTCCCCCTTTCCTACCCGCCCACCCCCACTGCTTCAACCAGCCCCTCAATAGATGATATACCCTGTGCCTTTCTCTGGTGCTACCTCTCTACTCTTATTTCACAGAGGTGGCCTCCACTTTACCAACTGGGTTTATTTGCAAAAACACTTCAGTAAAATCCCAGAAGGGCTTATAGAAACCTGGTCTGCAGGAAAATACACTTTCTGTATCTGTGCCAGCTCCTGGGAGATACCCAATTCTCCACATCACAGCTTTTACAAAACTAGGGCTCTCTACCCTTGTAGAAATGGCCTGTTTCACTTCACATTGCTATTAAACTTTTGGGCTCAAATTTATCCAGGTAAACAAAAGAGGCAGGGTGGCCAGGTTTATTTCCAACATCTTTCATCAAGATCACACTTTTTTTTTTTTTTACTTCCACTAAGGCCACGATTTCCTGCTCCACTCATCTGCATCTAAACAAGTCTCCAGGGCTTTGAACACAAGCTTTGTTTCTGAATCCACCTGTCTCCTTGTCCTTCACTCCAAAATCTTATTATACTCTTTAGGACACAGAACTGTGTCACCTGAGTAGATGCGAATGTCTTTATCAGATGGGGTATTAGGCCAGGCAGAGGTGCACATAGATCCCAGTATCTTCCTTGAAGACAAAACTTGCCCTGTATTCTTGGGCTTCCCACTCATCTCTGAAAGCTAGAGGAGGCAGCATGACCTTCCCTGAGAGGCAGAGCAGGGGACAAAGAGAGAGTTCAATGGAGACCCAAAAAGGGCAAAAATGTGTGTGATTAGGAAAGGATAAAATGAGGAAGATTGGTTTTCAAAGTAGGCATAATCTAAACTTTTCACCTTGACCTGATATAGGAGAGAGGTATTTGAAGAGAGTATTAAGAATCTACTTTCATGGTTTCTAATCCAAATTACTAATGTTTTTTTTAGGATTTACCATGTCCCAGAAATGATTTTAGGTGTTGGGCATGTATATTTCAAGGAAATAATGAGAACAAAAACAAACAATTTCAAGCCAATTGAAGTTTATGAGAGTCCTGGTTGGGGCGGGGGGGAAGAAAAATGGCATCTGCAGAAGTCCATTGATTCACATGAATCACTCTCACTAGAGATTACAATCAGATCTATCCTTGTCTGATTCTTTGCTTCAGGACACATTGCTTCATTGGGCAAGTTTCAAGTTTTTCTTAAAAAGGTGTCATCCATGGGACCTTTTACTCCCCCATTCTGACCTCAATACCTCAACTTTGAGTTACACTTAAAAATCATTCTTCTTTGACACAGCAAGGGTGTCCAAAATTCACAAAAATGTACATAGATTCCCCACCCTACACCAGGGTCTTAAGTGCGGCTCAGATAATCCTTATATGCTCTTTGTTAATCCTCTGTTGCCACCCCCAGACACTGGAAGTTTCCTCTATCTTCCTCAAAATGTTCCATTGTTCTCATTATTATCAAATTTACCTCACAAGGCACTTCTCTTGTATTACTGGGTGAATCCATCACACATAAACTATATAAACTTCCCTCACATTTTTCTTCCATAGCATTGTTCTTCTTTTTTCATTTAAATTTATTTTAACTAATACCTAAAATATAAATAGTATACCTATTAATGGAGTAAATAGATCTCTTGATGTATGGATATACTGTGTTATTTTGTTTCCTCAAACACTTTTCATTTCCTTTTGTGAAAATTTCCAATATGCTCTCTTCTTGCTTATTGAAATAAAGTTTTCTTATTGCTATCTATAGTCACTCTATTGTGCAATGGTGCACAAGAACTTCTGGTCCATTTAAGTAAAATCTATAATTGATTGATCAATCTGCAGCCTTCCATATCTAACCCTTACACTTTCCAGCCTATGGAAATCACAATTCCAGTCTAAGCTAATAAATTTTTATGAGGTCAACTTTTTCGGGTTTCACATATAATGAGATTATAAGACTCTTGTCCTTTTTGCCTGACTTATTTCACTTAACCTAATGGTTTTCAGGTCCATGTATGCTGCAGCAAATGAAAGGATTTCATTCTTTTTTTTTGGGGGGGGGGGGCAATGAGTATTCCATTATGTAAATGTACTTCATTGTATTCAGGTATAAATTGATGGATACTTAGATTATTTCCCTTTCAACTACTGTCAGTAACTGCCATAAACATGAGAGTACAGAGGTCCCTTCAACATCCTGAATTCATTTCCTTTGGATATATGCTCAGCAGTGATTGCTGTATTATATGGTGATTTTGGGGGGTGAGGGTTGTCTGATAATAGCTTTGTATTTCCTTTGTTTGAAAAGGACACCTTTGCCATGTTCTGTATTTTTTTTGAGAGAGAGAGAGAGGATTTTTTAATATTTATTTATAGTTTTTGGTGGACACAACATCTTTATTTCATTTTTATGTGGTGCTGAGGATCGAACCCAGTGCCCCATGCATGCCAGGCAAGCATGATACCGCTTGAGCCACATACCCAGCCCAATGTTGTATATTTTTAATTCATAGATTTTTCCTTCAGTTGTATGAAAATCTCATGGTACTCACTTCTGGCCTACATGTTTCCTGTTAGAAAGCTAATTTTCAGATGAATTAGGACACCCTATGTGTTCTTTGTGTCTTTATTCATGATTCCTTGAGACTCTTTATTTTTCATCTTTGAAAGCTATATTATAATATGTAATAACAAGAGCTCAAGCATCCAGGTCAAATTTGGGCACCCAACTAAACTTTCAAGCCCAAGCAGAGACTTAAATCTTTCCATAGTGTGCTCCCTGGGACTTTGGGAAGGAGTGAGGAGTGTGGTCCTGTGGCAAAGAGTGCTACGATGCTATGTCACACACTAGGCCACAGCCTGCCAAGGAAACACAGCTCTGGGGAGGGACCAAGGTCCTCAATGCCATGAGCTGCCTACTGTTGAGGTGGACTCATGGCCCAAGACTCCTGCAACCAGCCACAGGCTCTTCTTGAATGTGTCCCACAGCACATAGGTCATGCTGTCTCTAAGAGTTCTGTCCTACATTTGAGACCTCTATTTCCTACTGAGTACTGAGTATCATCATAATGTGCTTGGCATTGTCTCTAAGACAAAATTCTATATATGTTCTTGTGTCCTGCTCCTTAGACAACAGAGTGTTGATTTCCTTCTGCCAAGACAGATTGGAAGAGTGAGGGTGGAGATAGTCTCTTAGATGTCCAAATAAACATAGTTCCAGAATCTCAATCTGAGGTTGCTGGCACAGGACCAAGGGTTATTGGGCTCTACTGGGCACCTGCCTAGTTCTATGTTTCAAATCTAAGGCCTTGACTTAATTAGCTTTCCATTCCCCAAGAAGGATGCATATTTCTTCATGCTGGGCTTCTTCGATTAAAGGAAATGATAACTCTTATTTTCCTCTCTCGTTCAATGTGTATTTTCTTTGTATTATCATAAAAGCAGGCAATCATTTGCTTACTTTTCTTTTCATACACCTGGTTTATTATCTCTTATCACACTGTTTGGTGTCTGAAAAACTGTTTACATGGTGTTTGTGTGAGAGATCACAGATCTCTGGCCTTCCTGCCAATGACATAAAAATTCTGATGTCTAAATCTAGAAATGAGAATTGCAACTTTGCAATAATCCATAAATTCCCCTATGATGTGTTTGATCCCTGTGCCCATATACCTACTAAACCAGTACAGAATATTTCTGACTATATATCTACAAACATTCACTTCAACTGAGAAAAATAGGGCTTCATTCTTGTCTGTCCTTTGAAAAGCACTGCAAACAGAGTGTGTGTGCTAATTTATCTGTAAACCTAAAAAAACTATAAATTAGAGAAATGAAAGAATGAAAATTGACTTTAAGTTTAAATGGTCTACAAAAAAAATATCTTGTGAAGTAAGAGAGTTGAGAAGGGAAAGGACAATATCAGAGATTTATAGGACAGGAATAAATGAAGCCTGTCATCCAGTGCTACACTTGAAACCACAGATTCAGAAAAGGACCTTAGTCCTCTCTGTATAATTCACCTCCTATTCCCCCAGGGATAAGACACTACTTCCTGGAACTTTCCATTCTCTTAGATAGTGGAGAATGTACTGACCATACCTGAGCAGATGACTCCTGCATCATTATAGTGCCCACAGTTGTTCTTTCCCAAGCCCAGGGAAGGGCAATTCCACAAGTAGTCCTCCTCTCCTGTGCACTCCATCTTTGTCAGCCAGATGGGTCCAGATCCCTCTCCAAATTGTGCATAGAGCAAGGCATTGAAGGCCATTCCACAACCCAGCTGTCTGCACACCACATGAGCATCTTTCAGATCCCAGCTGTTATCACAGACAGTGCCCCAGGAATGCTGGTGAAGGATCTCCACTCTGCCTGCACAGCGACTGCCACCATCCACCAGGCGGAGCTGTGGGCTCTCTGAGAGAAAGAATCATGTCAATGGTTGTATTTAAAAAGAGAATAGAAAGGGTTCTCTTGTCATGTGGTACTGCCTTCCCAACCAAGAAGTTGGCAGCATGTACTTTCAGAATGTAGAACTTACTGAGTAAGACATGGAATCATTCATTATAGTAGGCAGCAGGTAAGTCTGAGTTTCTAACATAACCTGAGAAATTAATTTTGAAAAATAAGAAATGAAATAAAACACAACAAAATCAAATGAGTAGTCTCAGGTAGAAGTTATTATGTAGATCTGATCAGAGTAAAACTTTTTCTGCATATGATGAGACAAAAGAATTTGAGAAATGCTAAGATTCCTAATCTGAGTAGCTAAAAGTGTCTTCTCTGAATGATTTCTAAGAGTTAGTGTAATGGGCCAGTATTTGAATTGGTTTCTTGTAAAGCACATACACATGACTATCCATGAGTTTGTCAGAAGTCTCAGGTGACAGCCATGAATCCAGGGGAAAAAATGAAATTATATAAGCATTAAGTCTAAAAAGTAAATGGATCATAAGACAAACCATAGCTATTGTAATATATTTCACTATTGATTCTAGGCTTCATATTTCGATTATGGATATTAAATTTAAATTTGTGTTCACTTTAGGTAGATTGGGCAACCTCCCTGAATAGATGATATCAGATATTTACATAGCCTAAATGCCACTAGCAATCATAGAATGTTACTTATTCCCCTAATATATCCAATCTGTGCTTGGATTTCCTGCCAGGAGTTCTTGATGAGGATGCAAATAGCAGAATAGAATTACACTTTTTATGACTTTGTGTGACAAGAGTCAGAGCACACAGGGAAATCTGTATTTTGAGAAGAGAAAGAGGAAAAAAACTGGGAACCAATGAAAAAATGATGAAAAATGTTGACAATATGGAGAAGCATAAGGCAGCCCAGAGAAATATACAAAGCAATTTTCAACTTCAGCTCCAGCTATCTTACCTGTGGGAGAAACACAGGGTTCTCACAAGTTTTAGATCAAATTTGGGGAGTTTTTCTCAGATGGATGCCTTCCATATAACAAGACAGATATGGAGAAGGAATTTATCACATTGCTCAGCAAGCTCTCAGAGTGTTATAACCAGGGGCCATCTTGAGAAGGCTACCATTGTGAGGGCAAAACTGTGCTGGAATTATAAAATATAGATTCATTATAACACATGGTCCCTCGGTCACCCCTCCACAGTGACTGGATGGAAGATGTGAGCACTTACAGTCTCAGATAGGAAAACTCCCTTCTACAAACACCAAGATGGCTGCAGAGAAGGGACTAGAAGCTTCATTGATATGTGGGCCTTCTCAATGTGAAGAGGAGTGATTCTAGTCTCAGGAGGCTGCACAGAGAGGCTAGGTTTGAAAGATCAGAGATCATATCTGGTGATTCAACCCATTCCTGTGCCCCATTTCCTGGGTGGAGCTCAGTAGTTTGATTGTTTACACCACTTTTCACAAGAATTCCAGAGATTCACCATGGTGTGACACTTGGCTAGACTCCAAGTGCACGAGGTCCCTGTAGCAAGTGTGTGCCCACCAGTTGGGTCCACAAATCACTGAAGGAAGGGCTTGGGGTAACTTTGACTTTTACTATGCCCCTACTATTTCAAATGCAACACCTCCAGCATGATTATGGCCTGTCCCATCAATACCTCAGTATTTAAACTGAGCAAATGCTCTACTTTCTTCCTACATTGCACTCTAATCCTCCTTTATTTCTCAACCTAAACATGGTTTTTCTCTTCCTCAGTGCACATATTTGTACAGCACCTACCAGGCCTTCATGACACTAAACTTTATGCATGGTGTGTATCATCAGGCTGGAGTGAAAACTCCATGAGAGCAGGGGTGATATTTTCTTCTTGTGTCTGTTTTCCAGCTTGGTATTAAGTTTTTACCTAGAATTCACACAATTACTTATCATCAACAAACTAATCTGAGAGGTGGTCTGACTGCTGTAGTGGATTTCAGAATAAACGGCTCATTGTATTGAATTCCACAAGTTGCAACTCACTCAATTCAAAGTGTGAGGTATATGAATTGTTTACTCCAAACCTTGCTTTCCTCATCTGAAATAAATGACCACCATAATGTCTACCAAGCCTTTAATGTGACGATTAGGCTACATTATATGTGGTGGTATTAGGGAACAAAGTGATATGTTATGTGTATTATTGAGGTCCAATAATTCACACTCTCACTAAGGAAATACAGAGTAATTAATATAAGGTAAGACTGCATTAGCTAATTGCTAACAATGTTCATCAGAGTACAGCATCATGCTCCCATTCACTCAGTTAAGTATCTGGTACTTTTCACATAAATTGCTATCATTGCAGGTTACCTGACATCTGCCTTGAAACAGGACTGCAAGAGGTAGATTAAGTAATCTCAATCCAGTATTCATTTTGTAGACTTATTTGAACTCATCCATTATTTTTAAATACATGAGACTTTTCTAACAGCAATCTACAGGCATAGGACACACACATAGAAATAGACAGTAGGTCACCTGTACACATGATATGAGCTTCTTCCTTTGGAGAGCAAGATTGGTGTTTCCACGGGTCAGAAGGACAATGCCAGAGAGAGCTATCAGTTTTTCGACAGCGAATTCCATCAACCCAGCGTGGTCTAAAACCTTCCCTGGAAGGAATCAAGAAATTCCGTGTCCCAGTGTTTCCACAGCCAAGCTGTCTGCAGATCACAGACAAGGTCACAGGTTCCATGGGGCTGCGGCATACACTGCCCCAGGTATTGTTGTAGAAAATCTCCAGCCATCCAGCACACTCCTGGTCCTCACTCACCAGCTTGAGGGCCAGGAACTCTGAAATGGAAAGGAGGAATATGAGTGTCAGTTAGCATTCAACTGTTAGTATTGTTTTTTCTTTATTCTTAAGTAGTGAGTGCTCATTGCTGACTCTGCTGAGGAAGTGTCCAGGAGGTGGAAGACTGGAATTTTTGTCCCTTTAACCTGTTTTGCTAACTTGTACCTCTCTGTTTCTACAACAATGTATTATTAGCAAATAAACAGGCAGGAACAGTGACGTGGGGGCTTTGTAGAAAAGAAACTTAGTATTTAATACCTGACCTGTTCAAACCTTATTTATAGCCCACACAGACCCTGTTCAAAATTCTAATCTGTGCACTGTAGGATGACATATATGTGTTGATTTGAGTCACTCAGTCTGACAGATCCTAGAAAAGAAGGGTGGACAGAACAGAGGCAAAAGATTGGAGATCCAAATATGTCCACTTTCTGGTCTTTGGAGTGTGTGAATATTTTAACTCCTTGCCAAAGTGTTCCTAAGACACAATTAAGATTCCTTTGTGAATTATTCTGGATCATCCTGGATTGGTAGTTGAGTGCAATCTGTCATATCCCTAGACCTCTATCATCAAAAGTAGATAATTCTTTCTGCCCCTCATCATAGGAAGTTGTGAATATGAAAAGATGGTCAGAGGATTACACTGTTGTTGTTTTGAAGAAGGAAGGGGCCATGAGACAAGGAATTAAGTCAAATTCTAGAAGCTTCAAAAGGAAGGAAATGAGTCTTCCCAGAGCTGCAGCTGTTGTAGCCTGCTCACATCTTGTTTATAGCCCACACAAACCCTGTCCAAAATTCTAATCTGTGCACTGTAGGATGACATATATGTGTTGTTTTGAGTCACTCAGTCTATGGTAACTTGTTACAGCAGAAACAGAAAACTAATTCAATGGGCCAAGATGTTACACTGGCAGGTAATAGAAGAGTGATGACTGCTTTAAATGAACACTGTAGAGAATGACTGTGTCAGGAGACAGTGCTGAGAAGGAATGAGCAGAAGCTCGGTAGCTGCAGCAGGAAACAGAAGCACCTCATGTTCTCTGTTGGAAGGACAGGAATTGTCATTCCCCTCTGCCCTGTCCCAAACCCTGTATGAAGCTCAAAAAACATCTTGCAGACCCTCCCCTGTCCTCCCAGCCTGTTAACAATGTGTACCACAGACCTGAACAGATGACTCCAGCATCCTCTTTGTGACTGCAGTTGTGCTGTCCCCAGCCCTGGGAAGGGCACTGCCACACATGGGCCTCCTCTCCTGTGCAGTTCACCTCATCCAGCCAGATGGGCCCTGATCCCTCTCCAAAGTTAGCAGAGATGGTGGCCTCCAGGGCCACTCCACAGCCCAGCTGTCTGCACACCACGTGGGCATCATTCAGGTCCCAGCTGTCATCACAGATGGAGCCCCAGGAGCCCTGCTGCAGGATCTCCACTCTCCCTGCACAGCGACTGCCCCCGTCCACCAGGCGGAGCTCTCTGCTGTCTGAGGAGAGACAGGGTCATGTCAGTGGACATGTGCACAGGAAATGGGAAGGCTCTGGTGCTGGGGTGTTGCTCACCTGAGCAGTTGGCAGTGTGGCCCTCTGAGGCTGCAGAGCCTGTTGGGTCAGGCCAGGATTCATTGCACTGGGGCAGCAGCTGGGTCTGGTTACCTACAGATGGGTGTAGAGTGGATGAAACTGAATTAAGTTACATAATAATCGAGGATGTCATCTGAAAGCTGTAGCCCCTGATCAGTAATTTCCTATCTTCAGAATTGTTCTCCTAATGATGATTTCTGCTTCTAATATGACACTTTGGGGCTTTATGTTAGGCACTAGGAGTGACTTTAGGAAAGTGGGATTATGTTAGTACTTCTTGAAAGCATTGCAGAGCTACTAGGATAGCTAGACTTTAGGAGTCAAATGCAGAAAAAATTAAATGTGGGACCCACTATTTTTCCATGGATGCATTTGCCCACTCAAAGTTAGAAGGTGAGACTGATAATCTCAGCATGTTTGCCAGATTGTTTTGGCCATACACAAATATAATTTGGTTTGAACCAAAAAGGAGGAATCAAGTTACACAACCAGGAAACTTGTATCATATTTTGTGAGTTAAAAGTATTTTGTCACAGTAATGATGTCCAGTTTCTAAAAACTTCAATTGTTTTCATATAATGTGATCTATCATAAATAGAGTACCTGGAAGAGGCAAAATAAAATACTTTCTGAAGGTTTTGTATAGTTTTTTTAAAAAAAAATGCTGATCCAAAATACCACATAAAAATAGTGTTAAATGGAGAACAATGAGAAAAATGAGAAAGATTTTTCATATTAGTATTGGTGTTTCCTTATAGGTAATTTACGTAATCATGATAAATTGTCTATTAAATGGCATGATGTTCATCTTGGCAGAGAAGTAACCACAAAAATATAGTAAAAATTTGATAATTAAAAAGTCAAGAGCTAAAAATAAGAACCCAAAGATGAGTAAAAAACATTTGATTATCACAGAATAGAAATTGCTAAGTACAAAAATATATAAAATACACTGAGTAAATCACAGAAAGATAAGGATAGAAAGTACAAAGAGAGACTTGAAAGACATAGTGAGAGAACCTAATATTCCTATGTTATCTATAACTTTTAGGTATTTAGGCCACTATAATAGTGCTAAAAGTACATCTTAGAAAATATATAGTCAGATATTGAATACACATATAGCTTTAAAACATATCCACAGAATATGTGGCGCTCTGTCCATTGACCTGTGAAGTCCATTCCTTTTTCTCTTGAATCTGGGCTGACCATGGTAAGATGTAAGGAATAGAATGTGGTGAAGCCAAAATGGCTTGACATACAAACCTAGCTTAGAAAGTCATGCCTCCTTTTCTTTAGGATGTTTGATTTATGGCATATCTACTGTATATGTTGGAGAGAACATTTGTAGGTGGTTCTGTCAATTTCAAGCTACCAGCTATGTGAATGAACTATCCTGCGTTCCCAGCTTTGTCAAGTCTTCAAATGATCTCAGTTCCACATGACATTAAAGTATAACCTCATGACAGATCTCAAGAGTCAAATGCCAAGAGCTCTTCCCAATTTTATGAATTAGAAATGATGAGTAAAATGAAATGTATTTTTCATTTGTGTTCCTCTTTCTTTCTGGCCTAACATTTATTCAAATGCCTAACTTACAAAATAAGGATACTTTTTTTAAGGGTGCTAGAAAACAAATGTCACATTACATTTAGAGGAAAACCAATTTGCATCTCAGCTGATTTCTCAATTCAGATGCTCAAATCTCTGTGGTCTTGTAATAATATATTTCAAACTTTCAAAGAAAATGGATGTCAGCCAAGAATACAATACACAGCAAAATTAAGTTTCATATTTGAAGATGAAATCAAAACCTTCCATGATAAACAAAATTAAAAAGAATTCATAAATAGAAAGCCCTACACTACAGAACATTCTCAGCAAAATATTTTATGAAGAAGAATTAAAAAATAAAAGTGAAAGCAGCAAAGTGAGGAAGCACACTAAAGGAGTAGTCAATTAAATGCTAAACTAAATCAAATTAAAAACCAGAAATGAAACAAAATGTCTGGGAATACAAATCATATTTCAATAATATCTTTGAATATAAATAGCCAAAACCAATCAATCAAAAGTCATAGACTGGCATGTTGGATTAAAATAACAAGATCCAGCAATATGCCTCTTCAAGAGACCCACCTCATAGTTAAAGACATTCACAGACAAATAGTGAAAAGATGGGAAAAACTGTATCACTCACATGGTCATGTAAACAAACAGGGATTTCTGTCCTCATATCAGATAATGTGAACTTCAAGCAAAAGATAATCATATGGCACAAAGAAGGACATTTCTTTGCTTAAGAAAATTATACATGTGCAAGACATAGCAATTGTAAATATTTATGTCCCAAATGGAGCTTTTGTGTACATTAAACAAATTTTTCTCAATTTCAAAAAAGAAATGGATCACCATACAATGATACTGAGTGAGGATAGCATACCCCTATCACCACTGGATAGGTCCTCCAAACAAAAGCTAAAGAACTATAAAAAATACAATCAATAATTTTGATTTAAAGACATATATAGAGTATTTCATCCATCAATGTTCAAAGACACTTTCTTCTTAGTAGCACATGAATCCTTCTCTAAAATAGATCATATCTTATGCCACAAAGCAACCCTTAGAAAATACAAACAAATAGAGATAATGCCTTGCATTCTGTTCAATCATTATGGAATAAAATTAGAAATCAAAGATAAAATTCAAGAAATAGAAGCTACTCTGGCACCAGGAGATTAGATAATACACTACTAAATGACCAATTGATTGCAGAAGAAATCATGGATGAAAAAAAAATACTTAGGGGAAATAGAAATAGTGTCACAACATATCAAAATCTCTGGGACACTTTGAAGGCAGTACTAAGAGGAAAGTTCATTCACTAAAAGAATACAAAGTCAACAAATAAGTAACCTAAGATTACAAATCAAAGCCCTATAAAAACAAGAACAAATAAACAGCAAATGCAGTAGAGGACAGAAAAAAATTAAAGTTAGAGCTGAGATCAATAAAATTAAAACAAAATAAATAATTCAAAAAGTTGACAAAATGAAAAGTTGGTTCTTTGAAAAAAAAATAATAAAACAGAAAAATCCTTAGCCACTAAGACAAAGAGAGAGAAAACAAAAATTACTAAAATTTGTGATGAAAACAGATAAATTACATATAAATACAGATGACAATCAGAAAGTATTTTGAAAATTTATACTCAAAAATAAAATAAGTAATCTTGAAGACACTGATAAATTTATAGATACATATGATCTAGCCAAACTGAATCAGGAGGACATAAACAATTTGAACAGATCAATTTCAAGCATTAAAATAGAAGTCACCATAAAAAGCCTACCAATCAAGAAAAGCCAAGGACCAGATGGAGTCTTATCCAAGTTCTACAATACATCGAGAGAAAATGGATATCAGTCAAGAATACAATCAAGTGCTTGCTTCAGCAACAAATATACTAAAATTGGAATATACAGAGAAGATTAGCATGGCCCCTGTGCAAGAATGACATGCAAATTCATGAAGCATTCAATATTTATTTAATAAATTGGAAATTCAAATTGAAGAAGCCTACAGGATGCCAAATGTATAAAATCACAACAGATCCACACCAAGGCACATCATAACAAAAATTTTCAACATATAGAATAAGGAGAGAATTTTAAAAGCCACAAGAGAAAGGAATCAGATTACATATAGGGGAAAACCCATTTGGGTAACAGCAAATTTTTCAAATAGACCCTGAAAGCTAGAAGATCCTGGGATAATGTATATCAAGCTGTGAAAGAAAATGAGTGCCAACCAAGAATCTTGTATTCAGCAAAATTAAGCTTCATATTTGAAGATGAAATAAAAACCTTCCATAATAAACAAAAGTTAAAAAGAATTTATAGCTAGAAAACAGGCACTACAAAACATCTTTGACAAAACATTCTATAAAGAGGAAACAAAAAACAACAATGAAAATCAGCAGAGGGAAGTAGTACCCTAAAGGAAAAACTAATCAAAGAAGAAAATCAAGTCAAGGTAAATAACAAAACTAAACAAATATGGCTGGAATTACAAACCATGTCTCAATAATAACCCTGAATGTTAATGGCTTAAAGTCACCAATCAAAGGACACAGGCTAGCAGAACGGATTAAAAGAAAAGACTCAACTATAAGCTGCCTCCAGGAGATTCATCTGATAGAAAAAGACATACACAGACTGAAGGTGAAAGGTTGGAAACAATCACACCACTCACATGGACAAAAAAATCCTCATATCAAATAAATTAGACTTCAAGCCAAAGCTAATCAAAAGGGGTAAATATGGACATTACATACTGCTCAAGGGAACCACACACCAACAAGACATAATGATCATAAATATATATGCCCCAAACAATGGTGCAGCTAGGTTAGTCAAACAAATACTTCTCAAGTTTAAGAGTCAAATTGACCACGACACAATAATCTTGGGTGACTTCATCAAACCTCTCTCACCACTGGATAGATCTTCCAAAAAAAAAGTTGAATAAAGAAACTATAGAACTCAATAATACAATCAATAACTTAGACTTAACTCATACATATACAATATTTCAACCTGTGTCAAGAGGATACACATTCTTCTCAGCAGAAGATGGATCCTTCTCTAAAATAGACCATATACTATGCCACAAAGAAACTCTTAGCAAATACGAAAATGCAGAGATACTACCATGCATTTTATGAGATCATAATGGAATAAAATTGGAAATCAATGACAAAATAAAAATTAAAATTTCTCCATCAGCTGGAGACTAAACAATATGCTACTGAATGAACAATGGGTTACAGAAGACATCAAAGAGGAGATTAAAAAATTCTTAGAGGTAAATGAGAACATAGACACAACATATTGAAATCTCTGGAACACTATAAAGCAGTAATAAGAGGAAAATTCATTTCATGGAGTTCATTCCTTAAAAGAAGAAAAAGTCGACAAATAAATGACCTCACACTACATCTCAAAGCCCTAGAAAAAGAAGAACAAATAAACAGAAAAACAGTAGGAGGCAAGAAATAATTAAAATTA